AGAGCATTCAATTACCCTCCATGACTTTGTTTAAAATGAAAAGGCTTTGCCTCCTGGGGACAGAGAGAGAGGATTGATTAATGCTGTTCGTGAAGGACAGAAGTGTAAGGACACAGAAAGATCCAAAGTACTGGAAACTACCGCTGGGCCATATTTGACAAGCAATTCAAACCCACCTTCAAGGTTTTTTTGTAAAGAATAAGGACTTTTAAGGCAACTGGATACACCAAGGGGCATAGATGCCATTTTTTCCCTCTTCCTTTCCCATGATGATCGCAGAATTAGAAAACCAAGAGGAAGAGAGACGTGATGAAGAACGGCCAAATTTTGCCATATGGTTTTTCAGGAGAAGAGGAAACATTTTTTTTCTTTTCTTTTTGACACGTTGTTCCAAGGGATCTGTGACTAACAAACCAAGCCAGCACACTGCTGGGTTCTGTGGCTCTGTGACTCAGAAGTCACTTTTCTACCCAACATATTAAATGTCAAGGAAAATACCTTCGATAAGAGAGAAGAGCTTCCTTCAGGAAGCTGGGCTCCTGAGTGAGTGCCTCTCCTGCACAAACGAGCTATAGGTTTTGCTGCTGTCCTTTAGGTGGATCGCCAACTGCCCAAGATTTCATAAAGAAGCATAAATCATGGAGAAACGTATATTAGTCCTCTATAAATGCTTCCCAAAAGTACTTTACCTATGTAATCATAGTAGATGTCTGTTTAAAAGAAAAAAGATCAGAGACACAGACAGAAAACAGAGAGAAGGGAAAGGAAGAAAAAGAATTACAGTGATACTTCGATGCATGTGTAGTATGCAGAATTAGGAGATTAAATGCCCTGGTGAATGTTTAAAGCCTCTGTACTATACGAAAGTGTATGGGTTTCAGGCTCGTCCTAGCCCAAAAGGGCAGCATTTATGCATCATTATCAAGAGCCCTCAGCTCACAGTGCTCTTAAATCAGAACCCCTGATGTGAAAGGGGGTTTACTCTGGAGAGCTAGCTCCTGCCTGGCTTGCTGAAAGAAGGGATGAAGTAAGCACCACACTTCCCTTCTTTATAACAATTGGTTTCGTTAAGAGAAGCATAAGCCACGGTCAAGGTGGCAATGTAATCACTGAGTTTTTGTTCCTCTAACAAAGAAAGCATGTTGACAAGAAACACTCAGCAAACCAATTATTTCATGCAGGTTTTCATCCATCCAGAAAGCCATCCTCAAAATAGATGGAACTTTTTCTCCTTCACTAACCAATCTGGTAGGTGCCTGTGGCAAGTACCCAAGAACCTAAATAACACTGTTTGTTCTCAACAAACAAAAATTAAGTAAAGTAAGATCCAAGGAGTTAAACACATAACTTCCAAACTTTTTAACTCCATAAATTATTTAATGGTGCATTCCGCTTCTATCTCAGCACATCTTGATGGTAGGCTAAGGCGGAACAGGATTTGTCCCCCAGGAATATAAGGGGTATGAGCTCTGTTCCCAGAAGTGGGAGAACAGATCAGGTAACTGGTCTTTCCAGTTTTGAGGAACATTTTAATCCAACTTTTTTTTTTTTAAATGGAAAAATGAAACAAATTCAAGACTCCCACTATCTAGGAATTTGGGAAAGTTAGAATGTATACCCTGAAAATAAGTAAATAGATAACTAACTAGCCAGGGAGAAGGAAATCCAGGGAGAATGTTTCCTTAGGAGGCTAAAAAGATATTATTTTTATTTTTTTATTTTTATTTTTTTTTAATATATTATATTGATTTTTTACAGAGAGGAAGAGAGAGGGATAGAGAGCCAGAAACATCGATGAGAGAGAGAGACATCGATCAGCTGCCTCCTGCACACCCCCCACTGGGGATGTGCCCGCAACCAAGTGCATGCCCTTGACTGGAATCGAACCCGGGACCTTTGAGTCCGCAGGCCGATGCTCTAAAGATATTATTTTTAAAATAGGAATAAACTCACTCCTTTCTTATATTTGTTAAACCAAAAACATTTAGAGTCATGCAGAATAGACTAACGTAGATGCCTCTATGTGTTACACAAGAGTGTAAGCATTTTTCAGGAGTAAGCATTTACTAGCATCGCTTTAGGAAGCACAATCCTTTCTGTCAAGAACAACTCTGGGAACAGAACGTCCCATCTGAAATGGATTACCAGGTCACCGCATGTGCAGAGCAGCTCACCCATGGGGAATGCGTTTCTGTTGTCATCTCAGATTGGGGGAAGTTCCGCATGGAAGAAGGAATAACGGGAAGGTTGCCAGGCAGCATCCTTGAGCTGAGTGTTCAAGGATGGAAAGAAGAGAGGTTATAACAACATATCACATTTGGGGAAAGGCTGGGGCTGAAGACTTGAAACAAATTAGTGAAAATTAAAGCTGCCATCGCTGTTTACAACACACCAAACTCTCTACCAGGGGTGAGGAACAGCTGGCCGGCAGGCCATATAACGCCCACAAAATCATGTTGTCTAGCCCTGCCAAGGCATTAGGGGTGAGTTAAATGTTTGATCAAAATAGCAGGCAGTCCCAATTTTCAAGTTGATACTTTTATATGGCCCCAAAATGGTATTATAAATATCCAAATGTATTATGCTAAGCGAAATAGGCCAGTCAGAGAAAGATAAGTATCATGTGATCTCACTCATAGTGGACTCTAATGAACAAAATAAACTGATGAACAAAATAGATCTAGAGACATAGAACCATGGAGCAGACTGGTGAATATTAGAGGGGAAGTGAGGATGGGGGGGGAGGGGGGAGACTAACCAGGGAATTTATATGCACATACGCAAAGCCCATGGACACAGACAATAGTGAAGGCTTGGGAGAGGTTGTTGAGGGGAGGAGAAGGGTCAATGGGGAAAACAAATAAAGTTGTAATATTTTCAACAATAAAGATAAAATAAATAAATATCCAAATGGCCGTTGGCAGGAAAAAAGTTCCCCACCCCTGCTTAATACAAATATTCCCTTTTGTTTTTTCTAACTTAATTTTAATAAAAACTGAGCTCCAGGGCTCAGACTCAACTTTCTCATCTTTGTTAGCCACCCTCACTCCCTAGTTGCTCTCTACAGTCTCGTGGCTTTAGCGACGCTGTGTGCTGATGACCCCACATGTCTGTCTTCAACCTGGCCATGTCCTCCGACTACAGACCTGTATGTCCAACTGCCTGTCTGACATTTCCGCCTGGATGTCTAAAAGCTATCTCAAACTCAACATGTTTAAAACCAAACTCCTGACTTCTGCCCATTCCTTCCAAAACAGAAAACCACCCCTCCCTCACCTCCCTTCAGAACGTATCCAGCACCGACCACTTCTCCCGCCTGCGCTTCTACCACCTCTCTGAGCCGCCACCATCGCCAGCCTGGATCACTGCAGCCTGCCATGAACTGCCTCCCCAGTGAGCCTCTGAGTCTGTGCATTCCAAACTCTCCCACGTGTAAGACAGGCTCCGGTTATAGACACTTTGTCTGAGACTTAAGAGCGACGCGTGGACAGGTGACAACAGGAACAATGGAGCGGCTGTGACATGAAGAGTGCAGAGTGGGGTTGACGGTATCAAGGATGGGACATGTGAGAATATCCTGAGAGACAGAAGAGCCGGAACTCGTAAGAAATATCAAGTCGTAGGTCAAATGTTCCCTCTCAGTTAGCCTTTCTTGACGCCACAGGTAGAGGTCGAGACCGCAATGACAGCATCGGTCACCTTACCGGAGGCCTGTGCTGAGCGTCTCCCCATCTAGACTTTGAACCCATTTGGTATCCCCAGCACCTGTCGCAACATCTGGGACCCGGTAAGCCCTGGCAACGTGTGTTGGATGCATCACATGGTGGCAGGGAACTCGAATTAGGAACATGGAGAAGAGGCGGCTGCATTATTCTGGAAGTGAGGCTTTGGAGATAGAAAGACATATTTGAGTTTATCCAGGAAGATAACACTGATGGGAGTACAATGGTAGGGAAAAGCCAGAGGGTAAGGCTTGAAGAGGAGGTGGAAGGGGGGCGGGGGGGTGTGATATGAAAAAAATAGGTGAGAACTAGGAAGCCAAAGGAGATCAAAGGGAGAGGTTTTTCTCATTTCCCCGGAGGAGGGTGGTGAGGAAGGGGAAGAGGGATGCTTAAATGAAAAAAGAGAAAGACAGGCTTACAAAGAGGTGGATGGGTATGAGCACCAGGCACGCTCATACCTGCAGTTCTTAGTCTTCTCACTCCCAAGTACCAAGTACACTCCTGAGCTCCAACAGGAGCGTGGGAGGGCGGAGGCTTCCTAATCCGAGGTTAAAACTGGGCCACCTGGTGAGGTGTGAGCCCAGGGGTTAATGAGGGAGGAAGAGCAAGCCCGCGTTATTGCTTCGGTCCTCCAAGTTCAAGTGAACTCCGCATTAAGTGGTGCGGGGGGGAGCTCAACTTCTCGCCCCGCGCCAGCCAATTCAAGGGCGATTCTCTGCAGCCCAAACTTCTCTCGTGATGAGAATCACCTAGTGGGGTTGTTACACTACATACAGATTCCTGAATCCCAACTAAGAAGTGCTAAACTAGAATGTTTGGGAACATATAGGTAAAACTGCATACTTAACTAGTGCTCTAAGACAGGGTGGACCACCTTCACCGAGGAAGGTGGTGGGAAAGCCATTCACAGTGCACACAGACCCAGTTCTGCCCAGGCCTCGGGGAGAAAACTGGGGAAAGTACAGACTATAGACAAAATCACCACTCCTTCCTTGTCAGTGCCCATCACCGCTCTCCTCCCCTCACTCAAACGTAGGTGAGAAGCGGGACTCCGTCCCGGGACGCCTGCAAACCGAGGCTGACAGTGCGCTCAGCCAGCTTCGCTGCAGGGAACGACGCCCCGGCGTGGCCGCCCCAATGAGGAGCGCGGGGTTCAGGCTCTCGGACGGTCCCAGGGCGCCGGCCGGCGCAGCCCGAGCGGAGGGCCCCGCAGCGCGGCGGAGGAGGTGGGGTCTGGGTCTGGGTTCGAGCCCCCAGACGGCACCGTTTGCAACTGACCTTGCGGCGGGGGCGCGCGCGCGGGGCGCAGCAGCCGGTGTCCGGCGTCCCGCTCCCGCCGCCCCCGCGCGCCCGGCGGCCGCTGCGCACGTAGGTCACCTGCCTCCGGCCGGCGGCGCGCGGGGGGCCGGGCGCGGGCGGCGGGGGCGGCGCGGGCGGCCGGGGCGGGGCGCTGCGGGCCGGGGGCGGGGGGCCGGCGCGCCGCAGCTCCGCGCACAGCCGCAGGCCCAGCAGCAGCAGCGCGGCGCCCAGCAGGCAGCGGCTCAGGGCGCTGCGGCCCCTCCCGGGCGGCCTCTCCCGCGCCATGGCCCGGCCGAGCTTGGGGCTGTGTCCGCGCCCGCCCGCCCGCCGCAGGGATGTGGCCCCGCGGCCCCGAGCTGCCAGCTGTGGGAACACCCCCGCCGGCCAGGGCGCGGGCTCGGACCCGCCTCCCTCCCTCGCGTCCAAGGAAGCCTCGGCGTAACCTTATCCATCCCAGCCCCAGCGCAATGCAACGGCCGCTGGAAGGGAAGGGCGAGGCGTGGAGGGACCGGGCGGGGTCCTGGGATGCAGGCGGCTCGGCTGGGGCAAGACCCCGAGGAGCCCAGCCTCACCTCGAGGTCCCCGAGGAGGGTCCCTCCGGCCTGGCCTCTGGAGCCTGGCAGAGCTGAAAGCTGTGGCCAGAGAAAGAGCATTCCTAACTGGAGGGACCCTGGGCCGCAGCTTCCTGTTCTAGCATGAGGGTTGTTGCAGACACACAGCCGGAGGGGAGGTGAGGGGAGCTCCCAGGTTTTGTTATAAGGAGCACGTTCTGATTATCAAGCAGCGCGTGCCACTGAGCACAGGATAAAGACGCATCGCACTGATGCTCAGGTTTATAAAGGCTCTCCCTCCAGAGAGAAGAGGGAGGAGGAGGAAGAACAGCCCTCTCTCAGTGCAGAATAATCAAATTAGAGTTATTCCATCTCTAAATTCTGCCTGAAGCTAATCCGTGCTTTCTCTCCGTGTTATGAAATGTGTGGGGGTGAAGGAGGAGAGGGAGAGGAAAAAGCAACCGAGATAACTGACAGCAGGGAGAGAGAACAGAAGATACTGGCACGATGTGGATCAAATTAATTTAGCTCCACACGCGCACACCTCCCTGCTGTCTTGCACAGATACTGAGGGACAAATTTATCTTGCAGCAAAATGCTCCCCAGCTGGCATTTTCACCACCACCTTGACCTTAATTAATCAGACCAAAGGCTCACAGCCTGAAGGCCAGTGTTGGCTGCTCTATTTGCAAATATTGGTAAAATTCTTCCCCACAAAATTCTTCCCTTTTGTGGTTTGGGTTTTAGGTGTAGGTTTGGGTTTGGGTTTGTTTTCTTCAGCTGTGGCCACATTTTTTTCATACTTTACGCTTGCATGTTTCCTGTCTGTATGTAGACTATCCCTGCTGACTCATCCTCTTTCTCCTCAGCCTACAGAAAGGACAACAGAGACACGGAGCCCCCTCTGCTACACCCCATTTTAATCTCCAGAATTTCTTTTTTTTTAATTTTTAAAATATATTTTATTGATTTTTTACAGAGAGGAGGAGAGAGGGATAGAGAGCTAGAAACGTCGATGAGAGAGAAACATCGACCAGCTGCCTCCCGCACATCCCCTACTGGGGATGTGCCCGCAACCAATGTACATGCCCTTGACCGGAATCAAACCTGGGACCTTTCAGTCCGCAGACTGACGCTCTACCACTGAGCCAAACTGGTTTCGGCTTCGGAATTTCTTGTTGGGATCCCTCCCCTCTAAAAGCCCCTGGTTTAAGGAAGACTCGGTGTATTCTTTGTCACTGTACAAAGCACGTGGGCTCTCTCTTCCATGTGACGGAACTTAACCCAATCTCGCTCTTTCCCTGGGCTCACCAGGTCCTCAGGCTCCCGAGCGAGCGTTTGATTAGGACCGACTTCTGTTTTCCCTAGATGCAGCCCTGCAGCTATTTCAGAGGGCTCTGTTTTAAAGAATCCAAGCAAGTGCGTTTTTTCTGATACAAACTCCAAGAGAGAACTTCACATAAACAACAGGAGCCGAGATGTCAGAAATGAACTGTGTGTTGGGTCAAAATCTTGTCTTTCAAAAGCTGTGAGACTTTAGACAAAGTACTTAATCCTTCTGAGCCTCAGTTTTTTCATGGACAAATAGACCTATATATCTGGTTTGCTTACAAAGATTGAATAGAATATTATATGTCTAGTCCACAGGTGGTACTCAATAGCAATTATTTTTATTATTTATCATTAAAGAAAAGCTTGGCCCTAGCCGGTTTGGCTCAGTGGATAGAGTGTTGGCCTGCGGACTGAAGGGTCCCAAGTTCAATTCCGGCCAAGGGCATATGCCAGGGTTGCATGCTCTATCCCCAGTGGGAGGCGTGCAGGAGGCAGCCCATCAATGATTCTCTCTCATCTTTGATGTTTCTATCTCTCTCTCCTTCTCCCTCTCTGAAATAAATAAAGATATATACCGTATTTTCCAGCATATAAGACGACCCCCTAATTTTACAGTTAAAATATAGGTTTAGGCCTATATTCACTGTATAAGACTACCCCCCACTTCCGAGGCAACACCAGTTCTTTTTTTAATAGACTGCTTCTCTGACTCTGGCCAATCTGAGCAGGCTTTTTACTATAACACAGTGTAGCTTTGGGTATATAAAATCCTGGATGTCATCATGAAAAACAAAATGTAAGCATTGATCCCAAGGTAGGTAAATATAAGAAAGCATACAGAGATTTGCACTCCTGGAATTAGGAGTACCCGACAATGCAAGAAACAGCCACGAACAAAGCTTCAGGATCCCACAAGTGCACTCTATTAGTTGTGTAATTGATGCCATTTAAGACACGATTTACATTGTGCTTGATAAACCTAGATCCCCAATGTCTGGTGTAGACTTTGCTAGACGTTTTATTTATGTGACCAACACAGTGTCACTAACTAAAGATGTAATCTTTTGAAGATTATGATACCACTAATTTGTGCCCTCTGCTCATCTGTTGAATTACTCTTCAGAGGGGAAAAATGAGGAGTATCCTATATTATTAAAATGGGAATATTTAATAAGACTGGAGTGGCGGGTGGAGAGGAGAGACACATAGAACAGTGTAGCTCTTGAAGAGGATTGGGGAAATGACCTCATATTTTCCCTTATCTCATGTCTCTGGTTCTCTAATAATGTTTCCATTATAAAATCTAAATAAAATGCAAAGTTGAAATGCCCCTTTTCTTATCCTTTGCAACTGTTTCAAAGAATCCAAGCAAGTGCATGTGTTTATGTCTCCATGTGTTTATTACTAACTAAAAGGAACTGTTTATATATGTATAGCACCATTAACTTTCTAGGAAGAAATCTCCCACTTTTAACTTCCACGCAATATTTCCCTGTGTCATGGAAGATAATGAATAGTGAAGTAGGCCAGTTGATAAGCGGGGGTGGCAAATTCATTCACTGTCCTAGCTGAAAAGCAGTCTTTCATTCATGACCTTTGTTTTTCTCATAGAGTTGAGTTTGTCTTGGTTGTTTCTGGATATGTTTCAAAAATGCAGATAATCATTTACCACTGAGTCTTACACTGGTTCATTCAACGGGCATGCGGGTCAGTAAACCACAAAAGCAGCTTTCATTAGATCACAAATTACATCCTCCATGAGGTTTGAGCCAACAAAATGAGTAAAACAGAACATTTTTTACTGCTAATCTCCTAGACCTCGTACATTTCCAATTTGCACACATGCTGTAGTGCCGTGTTCTCAAACTGGGTTAATTTTGCCTCTCAGGAACATTTGGCCAATTTCTGAAGACATTTCTGGTTGTTACAACAGGAGATGGTGGGGCAAAGATGCTACTGACACCTAAGGGATAGAGAAGAGGGATGCTGCCAAACATTCTCCAATACAAGCGATAGTTTTCCACAAAGAATTATCCAGCCCAAATGCCCTTAGAGCTGAAGTTGAGAAACCCTGATGTCACATAACATAGATGTTAATGTGACAACTTTTCATTACAGACTGTGCAGAGAGAAAACAGGCTGACAGTCAAGGATCCTCACCTCACAATGTAGTTATTTCTGTTTTCAATGTGAAATACCTAGCCTGAATTAAAGTAGTCAATTTTAAGAAGGAATAGAGCTAGAATTTCTGGCATCAATATCTTCCTCCACCCTACCTACCCCATCACCTTTTCTCCATGTAATATATGTTCATTGTGGAAAATATACACAAGCAAAAGAAGATATCAATAGTCATTCAGATGGAATGAGTCAGAGATAGCTACCCTCTCAGACTTTTGTCTATGAATATATATTGTTTACAAAATGAGTTATACATATTTCTTTATAATGGTTAATAGCAATGTTATTATATAATTTACATATTAAATAATATGATGACTGGAATTTGCTTAAAAACAATCCAATGGGGATATGGGAGATAACTCAAGGTATAAGTGAAACTAGAATGGCTGAGTTTATAATTATTACTGCATAAGTTTCAAGTGTACACTTATAATTTGACATCTATAGATTCTATATCATGCTCACCACCAAAAGTCTAGTTGCCACCCATTACTATGCAATTGGCCCTCTTTACCCATTTTGCCCTCCTACACTCCCTTCCCCTCTGGTAACCACCAATCTGTTGTCTGCCTCTGTGAGTTTGTTTTGTTTGTTCATGTGAGTTTTTTTTTTTTTATCATACAACATTTGTCTTTCTCTGTCTGATTTATTTTGCTTAGCATAATACTCTCAGGGTTCATCCATACTGGCAAAAATGCCAAGATTTCATCTTTTTATAGATAAATAGTATTGCATTGTGTATATGTACCATATCTTCTTTTTCCATTCATCTGTTGATGGACACTTAGGTTGTTTCCATATTTTGGCTATTAAAAGTAATGCTGCAATGGACATAGAGGTGTAGATATCTTTTTAAATTAGTGTTTTCATATTCTTCAAATAAATACCCAGAAGTGGAATTGCTGGATCACATATTAGTTCTATTCTTAATTTTTTGAGTAATCTACATTCTGTTTTCATATTGACTATTCCAATTTATGCTCCCACCAACAGTATATGATGGTTCCCTTTTCTCTGCATCTTTTCAAATACAAGTTATTAGTTTAGTTGTATTTTTATGACACCAATCTAACAGGTGTGAAATGATATCTCATGGTGGCTTTGATTTGCATTTCCCTAATAATTAATGATGTTAAACACCTTTTCATGTGCCTTATATAACATATTTTTAATGGCTACATGTACCACGATTTTACCAATCTGCCACTGTTAATCAGTTTAGATCATTTCCAAGTTTTAGTGTTCTCTGTGACTCCGTGGACTCTGTGAGAGAAAGAAAGAAGCCAAGGATGATACCAAGGTTTTTCCAGGGTATTACAAGAACAAAGTTACCATTAACTAAGAAGGGAAAGACTCAAGTAAGAATAATTCAGGGTGGAAAATTAATAGTTTGGTTTTGGTGGTCATATTGAGTTTGGGAAGCCACCCAAGCTTGGGAAGACATCCCAAGTAGAGATGTCAAGTAGGTAGTTGGATTGA